TATTATTTTTTTTTTTCTAATATAGCGATCTATTATCTCCTTTAAATATAAATGAACATTAGTAGTGAAGTAAAAAGCAAAGAGAAATTTTAGAGCAACAATATGTACGCCCAGGATAGAATAATTGATAAATATAAAGTACACCGATGTCCAAGCCAAGGGAAACACAAAGGGACCGGTCATAGGTTTATCTTATCGATAATTCACTCTATCGATTTGACTGGTCTAAGTTCGATCTAATTACATCTTCTACGTTCAATGTATCACGATTAATTCATAGTAATTATACGAGCTTTTAATTTTAAGAATTTTAACGAAGATTCTATTCTTCTCGCGATGTTAAATATTTACATTAATATAATAATTTAATAATCATCTTTTCAATATATAAATCTTGATAATGATTAAAATAAAGAAAAGATGCAAATAATTCTGTAAATATTAGAAGACAAAAAAAATAAAAAAATATATATATATTTAATTAAAAATAATAAAAGAAGAAATAATTTCTTTTCAACCCGTTATTCCAAGTTTCAATATTGACGTTAAACTACGATTTAACGAATTAAATAAGACAAATGCAAATTGTTTCAGAAATTGAATGCATCATGGACTACAGAAGATTACGATCCTAAACTACCCGAGTCGAGGGTTAATCGCGATCGATCGGTGTAAAATTTCTCCTCGATGTCGGAAGGGCATCGAAACTGCGAAGTCTGTGAAATCGAGCTATTGAATCGACATCCGTCATGCGAACATCAGCCTCTATACGTGTTCCTTCACTTGTAACTCTACCCACTCGACGCTAATTTTCCAACTGGCATGCGACCGCCACTCGAATGACACGACATCACACCAACCGTTCGACCATTTCTTTTCTTTTTTTTTCTTATTTTTTTTTTTTTTTCCTTTCTTTTGCCTCACTTTTCAGTCCACTTCTCGTGCGACTTTCGATGGCGCGTGCACGAAACGAAAAAACAGTTCGATAGGCATCCTAAGCACCCCGTGAAATTATACTTTGAAAATTTACAGGCCAACGTGTATTACGACCAACAGTTGTTTCAAACACGAAAAAATCTAATGATAATTATACAATTTTTGTTGCATTCGTACGATAAATATCTCGTGATATCTCGAAAACTGCACTAGTTAAAAAAAAATTATACTAAAGCTTATATATATATAATAATACATAAGAAGAAAAAAATACTTACAGATCGAAAACGAATTGTAAAAGCCTAACATCCGCAATCGCAATCACTGTCCTCGAAACGTACGATATAAATATTCTTCGCAAATATATAAGTCTCATCCCACCGTTCCCGAAAAGTTTCCAAAAACTGGTCCTCGAGATCAGTTCTCGATCTTAATGGAACGATTATTCGACTTCTCCAAGAATCCTTTATCCCCGTTTCTATTCACGGAAGCGGAGGCACGTAATGTCAAAACAAACAAATAATAAAGCGTGCCAAGGCTCGAGGCACTACACTGATCACTACTAGGTGGCCGATTGACATGCGGCGGCGTCACGTCGGCTTCGAGGCGACGCCGACTTATGCCCGCGTTCTCGCACAGAGGCCACGTGGCCTCTCGCGGTTGCAACGCCGATAACGTGACAAAAATGACAGGCGGTATACCGTATATATTGCACTATATTGCACTTCCCTGAGCGCGTCGTTCTAAACGCGTCTTTGTACCCGCTTATGGTCGACGATCCGAGCCTCTGGACTACGTGGCTTAGCACGTGGGAAAAGAACGCGTGCGGAACAAGCGTCAGACGGCGGCAGCTTTTACGGGGCTGCTTTCATAATAGATGCCGACCATATACGTCACCGCACGTCAGCTCGCCAGGCGAAATAACATACATTTGCGGCTAATTTTGTGGACGATTGTCGTCGAGGGGTCGAGTGTCACCCCCTCTCCTTTTACACACACCTCCCCCTCCCCCTTGCCGGACCGTAAATGAGTTCTAACTAATTTAGAGGATTTGCGTTTGGGTTTGGATTTGGGTTTAAGGGGTGATTGGCGGTGGAATCTGGTAGTCTTTTGAGAATTGTGGATAGAATCGAAATAGGAATGGAGAATTTAGTCGCGAATTGTATTTTGTATTTTTTATCGATCGTGTATTTTTTTGAGAACTTTAGAAGTTGAATTTTGAGAGCGAAATTTCCAATTAAAGGAACTTCCTTCCCTACGATCTTTAAAAATCGCGTTATCCACACTATTAAATCGAAAATCGCGATAAATTACAAAACATAAAATTCCAAGGGATCGATCTAACCGCGAAACAATTATTCTTATCATAAAATTATTTCCAAATTTCTAGCAATATTTAAATTACTAAAAAACAAAAGTCTACAACTAAATAGGTTAAAGTTTAGATCCATCACCGTATTATTTAAACTGTACAATCCATTATTACGATTCTGTAATAGATATAAAAAAAAAAAAAGTATTTTTTATCTATTACAGAATCGTAATAATGAATTATACAGTTTAAATAATTTGCATTTTGACCTTGCTAACTAATAATATATTAATAATACCGAGTATTATTTCGTGATGATTGTGATTCGAGGATATTAAGTGGCATTAGAAAAAGTTAATATTATAAATAATAAATGATTTTATCGTAAATTGTTATCAAAAGTAATGTAGGAGGCACGTATTGTACGGACTGGTATAGGCGAATTTTATTCACACAACGGATTTGCAACATTACATTAGGTATGTTCGATCAATGAAATACTAAGACAAAGCGTGTAAGTAAGAGATAACGTGTCGAACACGTCATGCTACAGTCTACAGTAAAACAGAATTCTACCATGTTTGAAGCAGAAGGATGAACCATTTAGAGCATTTAAATCAGATTATAACATAGGTATCTACATACATATATATAACGAACAATTCTCTTGGGTATGTCTAATAGAATCCGATAACGATGTACCAAATAGTTTTAATTACATAATCTAACACTGAAAATAGGATATTAAATAAAATGACTTAAGAAGAAAATAAAATTTTAAAAAATCAATTTAACTCTACATTTCTACCAATATAATTATTCCCAAATTTATAACAATATACAATTGCTCCCATATTAAGCTATTATTAAAAATAAAATTTCAGAGAATCTATCTAACCGTGAAACAACTTTATAATCCCTACCATAAAATTGCTTCCAAATTTCTAATAATATACAATTGCCAAAAAAACAATAATTTACAACTAAACAAGTTAAAATTTATAATAAATAGATCCATCACCGTATCGAATAAGCAATCCCCCTCCCCACGATCCTTAAAAATCGCGTTGTTCACACTGCAAAGACGAAAACTATAATAAATTACAAAAAATTACAAAAAATTAATTTAATTCTATATTTTTACCAATATAATTATTCTCTAATTTCTAACAATATACAATTGCCAAAAAAACAATAACCTACAACTAAACAAATTAAAATTTAGATCCATCACCGTATTGAATAAGCAATTCCCCTCCCCACAATCCTTAAATATCGTGTTGTCCACACTGATAAATTGAAAATCGCGATAAATTACAAAACATAAAATTCCAGAGAATCGATCTAACAACTTCATATTCCTACTATAAAATTACTTCCAAATTTCTAATAATATACAATTGCCAAAAAAACAATAATCTACAATTAAACAAGTTAAAATTTAGATCCATCACCGTATCGAATAACTCCTCTCCCCACGATCCTTAAAAATCATGTTGTCCATATTACTAAATCGAAAATCGCGATAAATTACAAAACATAAAATTCCAGGGGATCAATCTAATCGCGAAACAACTATCCCTATCATGAAATTATTTCTAAATTTCTAGCAATATTTAAATTACTAAAAAATAAAAATCTACAACTAAATAAGTTAAAGTTTAGATCCATCACCGTATCGAATAAGCAATCTCCTTTCCCATGATCTTTAAAAATCGCGTTATTCCCATTAATAAAAACGAAAATCGCGATAAATTATAAAAAATTACAAAGAATCAATTTAATTCTATATTTCTACCAATACAATTATTCCCAAATTTCTAACAATAATTGCCAAAAAAACAAAAGCCTACAACTAAGCAAATTAAAGTTTAGATTCACCACCACATCAAATAAATAACCCCCCTCCCCACGATCTTTAAAAATCGCGTTGTCCATACTGGTAAAGACGAAAACCGCGATAAATTACAAAAAATTACAAAGCATCAATTTAATTCTATATTTCTACCAATACAATTATTCTAAAAAAACAAAAGCTTACAACTAAGCAAATTAAAGTTTAGATCCACCACCGCATCGAATAAATAACCCCCCTCCCCACGATCTTTAAAAATCGCGTTGTCCACACTGGTAAAGACGAAAACCGCGATAAATTATAAGGTTGCGGGAAGCGTGACGGTTTTTAAAAGCCATGATTTTCCGATGAAAGCTCGCGTTTCGGGGCGAGCTCGCGCGGTTTATCGAGGATAGGGGCGGAAAGGGGGCAGAGGCCGCCCGCTCCGTTTAGCTGCAACCTGGCAATTACCTGTAGGGCATAATTGTCATCCCTTACGTTTTCCAGGACGGTCCCTCCCCGCCCCTGCTCGCTTGCTCAGAGCGACCCCTGGCCCACCCCAACGGGGGCGTCGGGTCACGCGAGGCCGTGCCTGTCGCAGAAGTCCACGCGACGCGCACAGCCACGCAATACCGAAACAACACCGACTTACCTTACCAGTATCAGATTTCTAATTACTAATTTACTCCCCGCGGTACCCCACGGCCTTTCCAGCCGAGACCTTCAAGACGGCTCGCCGTTCTCGAGTCGAAGAGACCAATTTTTTAAAAGTTACCGCACTTTGAATCAAATTCGTTAATCCGATCGATGATCGAGCGAAGGTGTATCGTTCTAATCGAGTATTGCAAATTAAATTATCTTAAAATGACTAACGATATTATGCATTGAAATAAGTTCGAGAGTTGTCGACTATGATTAAAACGTGTTGGTAAAGTGAATAGTATCATCGATCAAATTCAATGTCGACGAAATAGAATGGAGAAATCGTTAGTAATTTTAAGAAAATCCTATGAACCTATTATACAATGTTGCTAATAAAAAATACCGATATAAAAGGGTTTAATAGTAAAGAGATTGACTATTATGTAAGTCATTTTCAAGAAATGCGACTTACTTGATCAAGTTGTGAACTATAGAACCACTGTAGAATTTATTATCGAGTGCAAAATAAAATGTAGAGTCCATACGTGATTGGATACTTTCTAATCAAGCATATTGCTAATTGTTTCGCATTGAATTTAAGAGATAAGATAAAATTTTCGAAACAGTTAATAATTTAATTCCCAATTAATATTACATTAATTAGGAATACAAAATTTATTTTCGTTCATTCTTTACGCTAACATTAAAAATACTCGTCTATAAGTATCCAAAGACTTACGAACGATATCGTGTATATATCATCATCGATCTCGGCCACGTTAAAATATGAACTGGTTTACTTTGTTGACTTACCAGCCACGAAGACAAAGGAAGTTCAAACGATTAATGAGTTAAGTACCGCTCTATAATGACGTCGTGGTATTTACCTGAAAACAGAAAATGATTTCGTGTTAAAGATAAAGAATCGGATTGATTTTTAAGAGTATATCTGTCTAGGAAAGGGATAGATGTTGGAGAAGGGGGTAAAGAAGGAAGGTCGGTGAAGTGATGCGAAGCAAGGAAGGAACGAAGGCGGGCATAATTGCGAAAATTAATTATTGCCATGCACGAATGTCATGTGTCTCCCTGTTATTAGCCGACGGGCATAATTTAAAGGGAAGCGACTTGTTAACAATATCGTGCTCGTCCCGAAATTCGTATATACGTGGATAGAAATACCAGTTACACGAGTTTCTACGTTTTAATAAGTTCAAATATGCGATTAATATTTAAATAATAACGCTTATTAATTATCTTCGATTTCCTTCGCACGTGTTGTAGAATACAGACGCACGATACGATACAATAAAAAATATATTTTCAAAAAACGAGGGACAATTAACAAATTTAAATCGTTGAAATTTATTTTATATAATAGAACGATTGCTATAATACGACTGAAAGTCGAGTCGATCGATTCGTACGACGCACAAACGAAGACTGAGCGTCCTTCCAAATGAAAACAATGATTATATCTGTTTCTTAGAATTTTACGTGTTAATCTATTCGAAGAAATATATATATTTATTTACAATATCGTGCCTCTCTCGCTCTGTTTTCCTCTCTCGTCATTCCTCGTACGATTCTCGTATGAATCACATCGAACGCTTAAACGTCCTCGCGTACGTTAAACGAGCAAAAATAATTCCGTCTATATTTTAACATCGTTACCAACAATCATCCACCCACAATTGAAACATCCAAACGTGAGAATAATTATTCACCCACGTTCGTTGGACAACCATCCCCGGATCATCCATCGTCGAAGATCATCGTGGGAAAAAATCGTCGCTTCGATCGATCTCCTCCTCCTCCTCACTGTCGTCGAATTCATCGTTTCTCCACCGGAACAAACGCAATTCCATCTTTAATCCTAATCTCATAATCATCGCGGACGCGCGATACGCATAATCGTACGCGGTGTCTGCGTAAGTCAACCTCTTTGAAGATTCTCCGCTCGGTAACGCGCGTTACAACATTTACTTACTGCCGTTTAACCACTTATCACGTCGGATCTCGGTGCTTCTGCAACGCGCCTGAAGGCAGATTTCCGCGGAGTCGAGAAGAGGAGAGGAGAGGAGAGGAGGGGCGAAATCGAGCGACTGCACGCCACAACGCACGGTGCAACAGGGAGCAGAAGCCGAATTGAAGGAAGGGAGAAGGTGGATATATCCATTACGCGAAGCGCGTGGAAGCGTTTAACGCAGAGGCGTGCAAGGTGCGCGGGTATCGGCGTCCTTTATCAAACGGCGTTGCACGGCTCGCATGCTTCAAGGACATATCTGACGGGTATCAAGTCGACTACTACTCGATCCGCTTCCTACGCCCGGCGCCTCCTCTTCCCTCTCGTTCCAACAACCCCCTTTTCCCTTTGCGCCGCCCCGCTCCAATCAGATATTTACCGATTCCAATTGCTTTCGTGATTGCGTCTAAGTGGCCGGGATAGGCACTGTGTTTCGACGATCGGTGTTGGTGATCGGTGGTGATCGCGGATATTCGTTTTTTTCGTTTCGAATTTAAAAAATAGATTTCTCTTCGATCGATTTTATTATATTTTATTATATTTGACGGATAATCCGAGCGAATTGACGTTTTCGGTATAAGAGGTTTTTCATCGTTCGTGAGAATTTCTTTTTTTCTGTGAGAATTGGTATTCACGATGGTCGATTACGTATTTATATTTTGAAACGATCGTACATTCGCGTATTGTCAATCGCTAATTGCGTAGTAAGCAATCTTCGAAGGTATTGAATAATTGAAATAACGATTGCGTATACACTAATGCCAAACACAATCAACAAAAGCGTACAAATATCCATTCTATACCCGTGTTACTACACTTTCTAGGATGACCTATTATTCCTCTTGTTCAACAAAGTAGTCGATATTAAACTTATAAATACGTTTATTCAATCACCGTAGCATATCACATTAAAAATAAAAAAAATAAAAATAAAAAACTGCAATAAAAAAACTTACTTTCCAATAACTCAAAGGATTATCTCTATACCATCTCGGTATCTTAGTCAATCAAATATCTTTTAATCACATCTCTGGAAATGATGCGATCACTGCGAAGCAAACAATGCAACTCGAGGGGGGCAAGCATGGAACAATGAAAATGCGCTGGGTTTCGTATTAAAAGTTTTCGTCTGGTCAACGGATGAATGTGAACGATTATGATAGATAAATCCGTAAATTATGATAGATACGAGGATACGCGGCCGTTGGAAAGAAGAAGAGATAAGAAGAGAGGGGGCGGGGAAGGGGAGAGAAAGAGAGACACAGAGGAAGAGTTGCAGGTTAGGTGAACACGCCGAGGGGCCTTTCTACTTGCCTCTGATGTGGTCTGTGGCCTGAGCTTAATAACCGACGGCCCTCGACCTCCTCAAACAAACGTTTCTAACCGTTACCATGCCTCTTTGCCTTTAGCGGGGAAAATCCTCGGCGATGACACGCGGATAAGAAAGAAAAGAAAGACTTTGGAGAAGGCACGGTGTCGTGTTAATTGTAAATAAAAAAATTTGGCTTTGATTTAAAAATTGAATTCGAACAAGCGCAAGAAAAATGAACTATAATGAGAAAAATTTATCGATATTTTTTAAGTTAAATAATAAAAAGATACGAAATAAAATCGTACGATAGAAATCTGGAAGCGTAAGGATTAATAATTCGCGCGATCAATCGTTCATGGATTTCATTCATCCGTCGATCAGATGAAAACTTTTAATACGAAATCCAATGCATTTCATTGTTCCATGCTTACTCCCTCGAGTTGTTTGCTTCGCAGTGATCGCATCATTTCTAGAGATATGATTAGAAAATATTTGATTGACTAAGATACCGAGATATAGAGATAAGAAATATTTTCCAAAAGTTGAAAATTTCTGAAACGTCGTCCTTCTAATTACATCTAGAAAGCTAAATTTTTGTATCACTTCATGGTGCACATTCGCCAAAAAAAAGCTCGATACTTTCCAACATTTTGCGCTCCCTGTGACAAATTTCACCGCAACATTTCAAGCGACACCGAAAGGGGAAAAACGCGGTCGAACGCACGAAACGGCGGTAAAACGGCGCGCATTAATCAGCTGGCCGAGCTCGATGGACGAATTTCATACACGGTTGAAAACGTGTCCGCCTAAACGAGAAAGAAATTTATCTCCGTGTAGTCGGATAAAACCTTTTTTGGAACGAGCCCTCGAACGAGTCAAATGTACGCGAAGCTCGAAAAAAAAAAGAAAGGAAAAAAGAAGAGAAGAGAAAACGAGGTTGATACGTGTCGAGAGGTGCTCCGGTATTAAAAAAACGCGGGCAAAAGTCACGAGGAACGAGCCACGAGGCTGGATTATATCGAAGCACACGGTCGTGTGTAGGAGGCAATGCAAGAGGAGGCATGAAGAGGAGAGGAGGGGTAGGGCGGCGAGTGGCTCATCGACTGGTACAGGGTAGTACCGATATTACCCTGCACCCCCAACCGAACTCCGACGAGGCAATAGAAAGGGAGAGTAGGCCAGGTGAGGAGAAAGGGAAGAGAGCGAGAGAGGGACGAGAGGAGCATGTAAGCTCCGCGTAGATATCCACTTCCCTCCCGCGATCAATTAATTCCGGACACTAATGCTTTTCTAAAGACACACACCCCCGCTGGGCTCACCACTCGCTGCGGGCCGATAACCAACTATTCCTAGAGCCGTCCGTCCGAACCGTCGAATCGCGCGTCACGCGATTCCATCGTGGTTGCATTTCCCTCTCAAAGGAAACCGTGTAGATGACAGTGAATACCCAGGAACAAAAAATTTTCTAATATTTTTCCACCGCGTTTAAAATCCATCTATCATTTTCGAATCAATTTTCAAATCGATAATTCGATCAGCGTCGTTAAGATTTCTTCTTTTTCTATTCCTTCTTATAATCGATATTTCAACAATCGTGGCATCTGGAAGGTGGCATTCCAAGGTGGAATAAATCATCATTTCCAAGGTCTCCCCGAGGGTTCTCTATTTTCGGAAAATCGACGACGCCTCTCCCCCTTCTTCTAATAGGCACCTATCCTCGCCGTTATTCCGCCTCTACGAGGCAACAACCCTCTCCCTCCCTCTCAGGAGTATTCTAATTGTGAGAGACAGTCCCGGGAAAATACTCGGAAGTTTCCACCGAGCCTCTCTCTCCTCGCTTGTGTTCCAATGTGCCACCAACACCATCCTGGCCCCGACTCGCGCGGCAATTCTTACCTTTGGGTAACAACACGCCCTCGCCCATCTTGCCGGAATTAATTTCGAAAGCAAAATTAAGTATCTCTCCCCTACGAGAGAGATGGTAAATACATGTGGAAGATTTCTGGGAGAGCGGCTACGAGGTAAACTGGAAAGATTGGTCGTGTTCCATTTTCGCTCGAAGGACGGTGAGCAGATGCGCGATTTTCGAAGGACATCCAATCCGAGAACGTTTGTCGATCTTTCGCGAGAAACTGCGCGAATAGATTTCGCGAAAGGGGGGAAACACCTGGTACGTTGGTGGGATACGTTGGTGGGTGTTTAAATGCAAGGTAGTCGGGTTGCTATCGGACTATTTTCCTTCTGGAAGGGGAAATGTTACGTGTCTGACTAGTTTATCACGACCATTTGAATCTAAAGACGCTATTTACCATAGGTGTAAATATTCTTTCGTGGAAAATGAATTATTCTTTCATAAAAATTTCATATAAAAATTTCGCGAGAGTGTGCGTGAGATTGTGGGAAATTTTTATTTTTATCAAAATTGGTATTGGAAATTATTAATATCGTAATCTTGTTTGTATTGATAATGTAATTTCGTTTACGAGATGAAAGAATGGGGATTAATATGATACATAGAATATTCTTTTCGTCGAATAACTAATAATTTCACA